TAGTTAATGTGGTAATTTTGTGTTGTCTCAGTCCGGGAGACTAAGACCCAGCTCCCACTGTCTGCACTGAGAAAGGTGTGGGGGGAAGCAGTGAGCTACATCTGCGGACTGAAGGAGGACTACATTCGCCTGTACCAGGGACAGAGGGCAGCCATGTATGTTCACAACCACACAAACAAAAACATACACCCACACACTGAAAAAAACTTGACTTGTGTTTGTGTGTGTGTAGGCTGAGCCTGCTCCGCTACAACACCAACTTAACTCGGTACAAGAACCTGCTGTTCTCCCAGTCGCAGCAGCTGAGAGCCAAACTGGCTTTCTTTAAGAGCAGCATCCAGCACGACCTGGAGCAGTACACCAAGCAGAGGAGCATCGGTATCTGTGAGTGGATGTTAATCTCATGCTGTGATACATGATTTAAAGTCATTTTAGGGAGCCTTTGCTGAACTTTCCCTTGTTTTTGTGTGTTTTTCTCAAGCTTCAGAAAAAATGTTGAAGACCTGGCAGGAAAATGAAGATAAGGCTGATGAGTTTACAAAGGTAGGACCATTCTTACTTAGCTGCAGTTATTTAAAAATACAAAATTCTAAGGATGTTTTCTGCTGTAGGTTGCAGATGTGGGGTATCTGGATGAAGATATAGTGGCTCTACATTCTGAGATTGTGGAGTTGCAGAGGAGTCCAATTGCAAGAAGACAAGGGGATGTAATGGAACAACTGTCAGTATCTTTGTTATATAAATTCTATATTCATTCCCTTAAAACAGTTCACATTTTCTCAAGCCTGTTTTAAAACAGATTGTTAATAGACAGACCTCAGAACGTATGAATCAATCATTTAAAATATAACTGTGGTCTGCAAAAGTTAACTCTGGGTCTTTGTTTTTTTCAGTGAGGAAAAGGCGATTGAACTCTACAAGCAACTGAAAGCTAAATGCAAAAGTTAGTACAAATTATTTCACATTTAAAATATAGACATGATTTATAGGGGCGTCTCCTGTTTTGTTTATAGCCAATTACAATGCAGTCTGATAGTGATTGATACTCTTGATACCATTAGGTTGCCTGTCAAGATAATCAAAATGTTATATTATTAATAACAATGAAGTATTATACTTACAATATGTGAACACAACAATCAATTTAGCTGACTTTTGCCTGACATGCATGCTTGTTCACACTAGAATTGCACCAACATTTTAGCTAACATGGTGCCACAATAAACAGCAAGGTTTTACCTGGCATAGTACAGACATAGCACATTTTCTTTAACAGAGCCCAATTTTCCATTTGATTTATGGATTTAGTTGTGTGGAATATTTCCTTTTTATAGAATATTTACATATTTTGTGCACTTTTGAATTGCGATGACTTAGTATTGTTAGGAAGTTAAAGTTAATAGCTCTTGTACTTGAATTATTATGCTATTATATTATTATCATGTAAGTGGCAGAATGGTCCCAAAATGAAATGACTTTCCTTTATTGCAACTGTTTCTGGGACAATCTTCTTAAAACAAAAAGGAGTTATCCTGACAGGCCTACTGTAGTTTAATAGATATAAATGATGTCTGTGTTTACATGGAGTGATCATAAGAGTATGTGTACAGGTCCTGACCCTCCACATGGCTACAGCGACAGCTCGGACATGGTGAAGATGATACTCCAAACCGTTCAGAACCAGGACAGAGTGCTGAAAGACTTGTACACTCATCTGAGGTAATTGTAGCCAAGACACACACACACACACACACACACACACACACACACACACACACACACACACACACACACACACACACACACACACACACACACACACACACACACACACACACACACACACATGCAAACATACTGTACAACACTGCAAAGTTCAGCACAGCTAAGGTATAAGTGTACAGTTCCCTGCGTGCCCTTTATAATTGTCCCATCCTTCACCCTTTTTCCATTTATTCTGTAGTACAATTCTGGTGTGTAAGCGACGCATCGTTGATCTGTTTCCTAAGTTGGAGAGGGCCGTAGTAAACATAAAAACTGCAGAGGCGGCGGTGATGCAGATGCAAATGAAGAGACAGAAGGAATTCTGGTACCTTCTCAAGATTGCCTGTGTGAGTTTATAACAAGAGGCCCTACAGCAAATATTCTCAGCTGTCAGCCATGTTTTAAAAAGTAAAGCTTGATACTGCAATACAGTATTTTTTGTATATGTGAAATAATATAGTAGCTAAAACAGTGTATCGTTGTGTCTTTAGGCCCAGAACAATTCCCCTCCACAGTCGCCTGTACAACAACCCACTGGCAGGTAAGATCTAAAACACTAATATGGAGATACACAGATGAGTTTAAATCTACAATGTGCAGAAATAGTTCAATATTCTCTTTAAATTAGTTGACGGATTTGTACATTCACAAAGTTGCCACAAGAGGTCACCACATGCACCATGCAGCTTGTAAAGGTAGCGAAACTCATAATAATCTCCTTAATAACTTTGACTTGATGAAAATAATATGGACCCCCCCATTCCTGAAATATATTTGTTTTGTTTTGTTTAGTGCACATTCCTGGCACTTATTGTGTCAGAGTTTAAACTTCCCCTGCCAAAATATACAGTCAATTTAGAGTGTTTTGTGTGTTTCAGTGAAACGGTTCATCAGTTACTGGATGAGAATCAGCGCTATCTGAGTCAACTTAATTCTCTGCTGCAAGACGCCACCCAGGAGTTGGAGCACAGTGTCATGGTATGGTACACAGGATTTGGGCAGTGTGTTCAGATCCCCAAAATAACTCACTTATTTATATGTTGTTTTTTAGCAATTGAGTATTCTATATACAGTCTATGGTATTCTACCTATAATTGTAATTGATTAATCATGTTCAAGGTTTAAGTTTTGAGATGTGCAGAATGTCATGAAAATGTTGATTACATGGTAGATGAAGAAAAGCATGTTTAGTATTTATTAATTATGAAATGTGTTTGTTTTCTGCCCAGGATCAGGACTGGAGCTGGACTCAGTATGGAGCAGTGACAGCCCAACCTCAGAAGCTGTAGAAAGTTAAACTGACCAAAGACTCAGGGTTCAGAGTCAAAGTTATAAACTTTAACAAGTGCCTAATCAGAGTTACACTATCTGTAAGCTTTGTGATTCCATGATGTGTCTATACATACATGTAATGCTGTAAAACAATGTGTGTGACAGCATGATATGGTAAGCTATTCATGTTTTAACTTAAATGTGTATTGTGGAGTTTTAGCTGTAACCAAGACGTATTTATTTTACTGCTATTAAATATTTAGCGTAAAACACTGCTGCTGACAAACTTTGCATGATGGAATGTGAATAAATAAAGTTTCTTGAAGTGTTAAACTGTTGAAAGTAGAAAGTATGTGGTTATTTACATTCACACAGCGGACCAGACAACTGTCTCAAGACATACAGGAAATTGCTTGTTTATAAAACCCTGGGTTCAAAATTCTCTTGGGAGCTGCTGCAATCCAAAAAACAAGCAGAAGAAAAAATGATTAACATCATGCATTACATTTTTCCTTCAGTGTACTTATTCAGTATACCCCCCTCCTACTTCAACAGAATATTGTCTTTCATATTGTTTTAATTATAAAAGAAGGACATACATCAGTATACACTCAAGTCATCTGTAATCCTTCTTTGAAACAATGCTAAATAAAAATAGCATGCAAAGCAGTGCTGCATCTCAACATTTAAATAATACCATGGATTATAAAACCCAGTATAGTTTAATCTCTACACCTAAAACATGGCTCTGCAAACCAGTCATTTTACATTTCAGTGAATACATAAGTAAATAGTGCCTCAACATATTATCACACCATGCACTGAAATAGTAATACACTACAATATTTATAATCTTTAAATGTGAATTATTAGCCTCAGAGCAACAGCGGCAGTAGGAGAGACTTGGGTAAAGAGTGTGTAAATGGCGATACATCTGAAGACAGTGATTGGTTGGTTTTAGCCAATAGAGTGTCCCTGTTTTACATATTCTCGTTAAACATGGGAAATCGACTCGCTGGTCGCATTTGAAGACGACTTTCCGCCTCTACTATAACCTTCACATATGTTACGTCTTTCACGCTTCATACGCATAACATGAACACTATATACATGTCGAGGAGCGAGGAACAATATATTCGTTGACACCATGACAGTAAACGGTTGTAGCTTACTCCCTTATATATACACCACGCCCCCTTTACTCTCTTTGGATGTGAGGGCGATCTGGCTGCGACATCTGTCACCCCATTGATCGCTAGGGTTTATTCGGCTGATCTGGCTGGCTAGGCGGGTGTCCCCTTCCTCCCTCACCGCTCCATGTGTGTCCCTCCCGAAGCCCCGCGCTCGGTGGAAGAGGACGGTTCCCCCGGCGGATGATGACCATCCTTCGGTGTACCAGTAGCTGCGCTCCCCTGCTAGAAACCTCCAAACAAGCTCAAGGCCCATTTGTAGGAGAAACGTAGGGAAGTTAAGCTCCAAGCGTCAGACACATCCAAATGAGGCGCTGCACGTGGCAGTCTGCCTTACTTTTTCAATTGTAATATGCAAAATAGGATATTTGATATTTGATATGTAGTAAGTCTTTTTTTTGGCGTTTTCTCTCCTTTTCCATATTTATTCCCTCAATGTTGTAGTTAAGAACGTTTAACGTTTATGCTATAAATGTATAAATAAAGGGGTTGAGACATGGATGTATAATAAGAACGTTGAGACAGGGAATATTCTCCATTGTGTAGTATTACATTACTATGTATGTTTAATTTAATCCCTCATATTTGTTTCAATTATATACATGTTAAAAAACTGAAAGCAGGATTTAATCTCTTGGAACAGTTTTTCAATTTTATTTAATGACGAATGTTTTTTATTTGACGTTTTTGACATTTAATTTTGTTTCACCAGTTTTAACAAGTAGAGCAATAATAACGATAATGTTTCCGACAGGCCCTGAACGCAACATAATGTAACAAGTAAAAACGAGAGCTAAACCTGCGGGAGGCGGGCTGTGGGGGACGGTGCATGATAAGACCAGAAAAGGATACGCGTCGTTACAGTGGTAATCTTATTTATCATAACAAGCCATTTACTCTTACGCGTAGATGTTCGTAGTTTAATTCAAGCTTTGTACCAGGTAAGTTAACTCATACGCTTTACAGCATAGCAATGTTAGCAATAAGCTAACAGTACTGACGGAGTTGCTGACTTCCAAACCCAACCCGATACAGAGAGCTAGCTAGCTTAACGAGCTAACATTAGCAAGGTTAACGTTACCGAGCGAATTGTGTCAGCCTTTGCTGTAACTAACTCTGAACCAAAATCCTCGGTTCAGTTTGTTGGTTTTATAAAAGGAAACATTGCTTCATATTTTGACAGAGAGATGACTCGCTAGTTTCCTGCAATATGTTTATTCTACACGCCAGCTAATGGTGTACCTTAGCATTAACGTTAGTGGTTCAACATATTCTGCCAAACGTTGCTTGTGAATTGTTCTTTCTATTAGTTGAGTAACTAAGAATGTAACATACTAACTATTAAAGCAGTCACGTTGGGGTTAAACCTCGCTGTCACATACGCATGAAGCATAAACTTACTGCAGAAGCGTTTATATGTTAAATAAAGTACTTTAAATGACTGGGTTGCGTTCAAGTAACGCATTTGAACCTGTGTTAGCCTGGGTGCACATCTCCCTTTTTCAAACTCAGTCTGGTGTTGATAACTAACAGCCAAATACAGTATGCAAGCTATGTGACGCAGGTTACTGCGGTTTGCACTGCTACTGACATTATTGGGTCTTTGGCTTATTGGTCCCCTGAGTATTAATTGTTGTATAAATATTCTGTATATTTATGCTTTTTTTCCTCTCCCTGTAGGTGAGTTCTAGCAAGGATGACGATGCCGCACGTAGGGGCAATATTTGGAGCAATAGCTGGAGTGATGGCCATCATGCTGCACTCCTCTATTCACAAGATAGAAGAAGGACACCTCGCTGTGTACTACAGGTATAGAACCGTAGTATTGTATCTGTGCCTGAAAGTAATTACAAATATGTACTAAGAATACGAAAGGTATTTGTTTGTAAGATAATATGATGCATGTAAATATTGCTTTGATATGGAAATATAACCGTAGACACTGAGTTTGCATGCTCCAAACCTGTTTGCACAAAGAGAAAAAAAGAGAGGCCATTGCCACACTCTCCAGAAAGGTTAAGTCCAAATGGGAGCATGTTCTTACAGTTTTCTGAGTTTCTACAAATTAATTAAATTTATTAACACACACTGATCCCACTCGCTGGTCCCTGCACGGAAATTAAACTGAATAGAACTTCACAACTATGAAATAAAACATATAGGAGGTATTTAACTGTTGAGAGTGGTCATTGTATAGACCGAATACCAGAAACACCCTGTGACGTAAAGCAATGATATAACATGCATAACTACAACCTCTTAAATGACTGTTACACCTGAATAAACGTTTCAGTCTGTCTCTTTTTCCACCTTTGTTTAAATATAATCTGATGTTGAGATGGCCAAATCATTTGTTTGTATTTGTTTTAGGGGTGGAGCTTTGCTGACAACTCCCAACGGTCCAGGATATCACATTATGATGCCTTTCATCACCACCTTCAGATCAGTGCAGGTAAACGTGCCATTCAGCCCTGAAACCTGTTAGCTGAGTTAGCATAGCCTTGTGCAATGTAAGATTCAACTAGAAGGCGTTGGCTGATGCATGAAATCCAGAAAGAGATCTTCTATAAATAAATCAGCAGCAGTAGGCAAACAGTTGCAATTCACCCATGACTGCAGTCACTCTATTTTTTATTCGACCTTTAACTCTAAATTACATTGAATATCATATAAATCTGTTATCAGCATTTGTTGACATGAAAAATGAAATTCCAGAAATATGAAAGCAAATCTTTTTTTTTCACTTCGTTATTGGCTGAACATCAATAATAAAATACTATAAAAACAATCTTTAGTCAAGGTCCACTGACTATCTCTCTACTGCATCTCATGCTCAGAGGTCGATCAACAATGCATGACCCATTTGAATTGTCTTTGAATAAACATTATTTTGTTAAGCATCCTATTTCACAAGGTTAGTTATGAACTTTCACGATTAACAAGTTAAAGTTAATGTGTCACTTGTGTGTATAATGTGCATATTGTCTTTGGTTAACTTAGAACAAACATGCACTTTATGTAGTATTATTTTAGGCAAATATAACCTTGAAAATGTCCAGAAACATAAAAGGATCCACGTAGAAGGAGAATAATCTCAGAACATGTGTGATCCAATGCTTTGATTCTCATTGATTTTTGTTGTGCGTTTCAGACTACTCTTCAAACTGACGAGATCAAGAACGTGCCTTGTGGAACAAGGTAAAGCCGAGCTTATTGATGAAGCTGTTAGAAATTGATCACTCATTCGTGAAGACGATTATGTGTCTAACACATTTTAATTTCCCTCACAGCGGTGGTGTGATGATCTATTTCGACAGAATAGAAGTTGTGAACATGCTCGTCCCCTCAGCAGGTACAACACGTTCTTATTGCAAAAGTTCCTCATTTGGTTGAAACATTACCTGTGCCAGCTGCTCGACATTAAACAACTGTTGCATTTGTTCATTTGTTTGCAGTGGTGGAAATTGTGAGGAACTACACGGCAGATTATGACAAAACTCTAATTTTCAACAAAATTCACCATGAACTCAACCAGTTCTGCAGTGTGCACACATTACAGGAAGTCTACATCGAGCTGTTTGGTGAGTCTGCTGCTGTTGTTTCATTGTGATGCAATACATAGGAGTGCAACCCGTGCTTTGTGTTCATTCCTAAAATGTGATACCAAGGACGTTAAGTATTCAAACAGCTGCTGTTTTTTGTTTTTCAGACATCATAGATGAGAACCTGAAGGTTGCTTTGCAGAAAGAACTTACTATTATGGGACCTGGACTTACAATTCAGGTATTCAAATGCATGCAATCATACCTTGAGTGGCACACTACATACATTGGGATTCTATTCTATTCTATTTTAGGGAGGGACCAAAGTCCACCTTTGTAAATGAAAGGGGTTCGCTTGATTATCAACACAAGACTAAAATGAAGCACAATACAAATGTTATCTCAATTTATGTGATATTTTTATGCATTTGCAGATTGATTTGAAAGTGAACTATTTTTTTTCTTTTCTTTCCTATGCACCGTCTCAACCTCCTGATGAAGGCAGTTCGTGTTACCAAGCCAAAGATCCCTGAATCTATCAGGAGGAACTTTGAACTCATGTGAGTGTGTACATCTCTACTCACTAGCGCAGTCTTAGTGCATGTTTCAATTTCTCGCCTGTTCCCCACCCACTCAGTTCAAGTAAGACCACACGGAAAGAAAAAAATATTTGCAAAAACCTGTTTGTGTGTATGTGCACAGGGAGGCAGAGAAGACCCGTCTGATGATAACAGCACAGACTCAGAGGGTGGTGGAAAAGGAGGCCGAGACCGAACGGAAGAGGGCCATTATTGGTAAATGTGATGTTTCTTTACTGTAAATCAGCCAGCAAGGCTCTTCATTTGCATTTTAAAATTTGAGTTGCTCCTAAAGTTACATCTGTTAACGCTCGCATGTCTCTCCGTCACACAGAGGCTCAGAAAGTGGCTCTGGTAGCAGAGATCCAGTTCCAGCAGAAAGTGATGGAGAAAGAGACGGAGAAGAAGATCTCTGAAATCGAGGGTCAGCCTCCCTGCTTTTACTTCTCTCCTGTCAGGTGATGTGTGTGTTCCTGTGAGCAGCTCTGTCATGTGTCTATCTTCAACAACACTGTCTTTGTTTCAGATTCTGCCTTCTTGGCCAGGGAGAGGGCTCGAGCTGATGCAGAATATTACACTGCTGCCAAGTTTGCTGAATCAAACAGGGTAAAGAGACGCTGTTGGCATCATTTCATACAAATACATCTAATGGATTTTTATATAACAATATATCTACTATTCTCTCGTTGTGTTGTGGTTGAGGCAAAGTTGCTCTGGAATGATTCCGTTTAAAGCATCATGTAATGCATCATTTAATGCATCATTTATGCAAATTGGGCCCACCGATACTGAAACTTGAATAGATGTATTTGGTTACATGTGTGCAGCTGGTGATGCTCAAACTGTTTCAAAGGTGTTTTACTTTCTTCTCCCACATCTCTACCGGCCTGTGCTGTAACTGTTCAACCACTTTTCCTAACTTAAAGGAATCATTTGACACAAACAGCCCTTTGGTATTTGATTAGCTCTTTGCCACAGCACAATGCTATTTTGATTTCATTTGTGCTCGGAGCCCAGCTCTCTGAAAAACATATTTTTTCCTCAAGAACCGTGGTAACAGGGGTAAGTAATTGAAACGAAAAGGGTCATTTAGCGGGGGAAGTATAATTTCCAAACTGTTTTCTTTTTTTGCAACATTACGAGAGGCTGCTCTGATTGATTGCAAAAGATGAATCATTGTCCCCTGAGCTGAATGGACCCTGAAGAAACTGCTGTTAAGCTCAGTGTATTTCATATGTTGGAGTGCTCCTGTTGTGTGCTGTAGCGCCTCAGCTCTTCCCTCTGAATGTTGATGCTATCAACCACCTCCACACTCCTGAATTCGCCCCTTTTTGTTTTAGAACCAAATGCTCCACAGGCGAGCCATCTGCAATGTTACATTTGCTTTAGCCATGCTGTAAATCATCATGTCACATTTAGATTCATACCAGAAGTGATCATGACCTAACCCTAACCCTAGTCCTATTACATATCGTTGTGTTTCTTCTGCGTCTACACAGGTGAAGTTAACCCCGGAGTACCTGGAGCTGATGAAGTACCAATCCATAGCCGCTAACAGTAAGATCTACTTCGGCCAGGACATCCCCAACATGTTTGTAGAGGGAGCCGACAGCCCCCCTAAGTCAGCGCGTCCCCCCCACAACGCTCAGACGGAGCACTGAACTCCAGATGACGGGAGGGAAAGCTTTGCAGCTGGTTTGGTGAATAATAAGGCACTAAATGGCAAAGAAAGAGTGAGATAGATTGATGACAAGCAGGAGTGAGAGCAAAAATAATGCGAGAAAAAGGGAACTTTTTTTTTTTAACCTTCTAATCTTTTTGGAGGGCAAGTTTTAGGAAGGAGAATGATGCCATAGTGAAAAATTAACAGCATACTTAATGCTTCTGCTTGAGAGAGCGACAGCAAGTAGTCGCCCTGATTTACATGTGCTTGCAATCAGTGCAGTGTTTAACTCGGCTGTTAGATCTGCATCCTTTTCATGTGTTGTATGCAAGAGGAGAGATTTGTGATAAATGATTTTGGAGGATTCATTTCTGGTTGAGTAGGACTGGAATCTAACAGGTGACACTAATTAATTAAATGCTGTATGGTTTGTGTAAGTGTGGTGTGAGGAGGCAATCTTCTCTTACACTAAATCACTCGTGGGCTCTTCTCTCTCAACATGAGTCAGTGTGAGGTCTGTTTAATCCCACTTCATATCTAACCGTTCCATTTGGCTGAAATCCTACAGACATGAAAACTGAGATTATTTCAAACAATAGCGTTGTAGAAAAAGTGGCCTGACTTTGTTATACTTTCCCCTGATTTCAAATAGAACTTTACGGATACTCAAGTCTTTAAAGGTGGAGGGGTATTGTGTGTTTATATAGTTAATAAACTGTGGTGTCAGATTAGTAGTAATGTAGTAGCTTGGTGGTCGTTTGCTGTTATTAGATGTGGTTGAGTGCAGCCTCTTCAGAAAGACTTGAGATGAACCTGCTGTGGCATTAACTGTGAGCTAAAGGATAGTCCTCTTAAAGCTAATTTAAACCCATAGAAAATAAGGTAACTGATATTAGAGTGAACCAATAAAGCATTTGATTTATAGTGCCACAGGGTGGAGTCCGGATTTGTATTCCTCGTTGAGATGTCAGCACATCTTTCTTTCCTACGTCTGGTTTTGATTATTAGGGCCATCCATGCATGTGGAAATGTGTAGTGGCTTGATTCAGATGATTATTAGCGCCTGCAATTGTCAGCCAACTCTTGTTATGCAGCTTATTCAGATGTGGTGAAATGTAAATTCTCAGGAAATTGACTTTTATTTTGTTGAAACAGTTGCTCAATGTTGCTGAAAATTAAAAAATTAAAAATTGGACTCTGGTGACACCAGTTGGATAATCAAAGCTTTGGTTATCCACATTAAAGGTGTCATTTTGAGTCCACCATCATTTTATTGTACCGTCTATTCGTAGTCGGTGCAAATAAGGTCTTGAAAAAAACAGAAGAGAATAAGACAATGGCTAACTTCCAATATCAATGTTTATATTTTCCTGCAATCCAAGAATTGATAGAATGCAAAGTGTATTCATTCTTTGCTAAAGAAGATAATACACAGCTCCTGATTACAGTATTAACTTAGGTAGAAATGAATTACACTTCTCATCAGTTTTGTATGATATGAGTTCCAGTACTACACAATAACAAGCTTTGGTTAATGTTGATGAAGCTGTGGCTTAAATAAGATGCAAGTTGGTGCTAGTTTTAATTATCTGTTTAAGCTTGTGGATTTTGTTCAGCTCTACTACATAATTCTTCCACTATCAGAATGCAAGCCTTAAATATTGATGGGTTAGCCTAGACTTACGATTAAGTGATTCTTATATACTATAAAGCTCCTTTTAACTTAACTGTGAGACCTCTTAAGATCTTGGATGTACATAAAGAGCTGCGGCCTCATCATAGACTCTGTGGAGACAGAACTAGCAGTGGGCGCTTCAGGTGTTCACAACATGTCGTGATGTTTACTTGACCTACGAATGGCACGAAAGGCTTCTTTCTGCGTTTGCTTTGGTGGTGGGTTCAAATAGAAATGCAAAAGAGGGGAATTAATCACTCATGAAAATGATTTTTTTTCCCGTCTATTTTGTACGGTCTGTGAAAATTCAACATTATCTCCTTGTTTTAAAAGATTTATATGCAAAAATGTTTTCAAGTTTTGACAATGTTCTTATGTAAAATAAAACCTATTTTGGTACCTCTCTTCTCCAACTGTGCTGCTTTGTGTGTGGACAGGATGTAGTACAGATGTACACCAGCAGGGGGAGAGCTAACTCCATGGATACTGAATGCTCTTTATATCTGAGACACGTGGGGATGGAAAGACAAAAGAAAGAAGATCAGTTTAATAAAGTTAAAGGGAAGAATAAACACCAACTTATGGGCTCATTAAGATAGTCATGTGATAAGATGTTAAGGGTAGTGTTGTGTAAAAACCAGGTGGTAAAGTACTCAGATCTTTTATTTAAGTTAAAACGGCAGTATAAAGATACTCAAGTGAAATAGTTCTGCATTAAACATGGCATTCAGGTAAAAGTACAAACGTATGAGCATCAAAGTATACTCAGTATGAAAACGTACTTGTTCATAAGGCCCACAAGTATTCTAATAATATATTATTGTATTCTAACTACTGATGCAGCCGGTAAAGGATATATAACATGACAACATAATAGTTGAATTTAAAATCATGCTTAGGTACTGTACTTGAATAAATGTGCTTAACATTCAAATCTAAACAAGGATTTGAAGAAAAGGACAGTGAAACCCAAAGTTCCCATAGCTTTTAGGACACTTAAACTGATAATGAAAGGTTTGCTTTTGGCTTTGGTTTTGAATGTAGGCCAAACAAAAGTTTTCTAGATTTGTGGTGTAGAAGTTTTTTCCGCTTGTTTATAAAGGGTGAAAAATGATCACAAGTTCAAAATCCTATGTGACACCATGAAACACTATCATTATACTCTACTGCATTTCTTGTCCAAAAACATTTGAAATACAATGTACATGTGTTGGCTTGGGACTTATTTAGATATACGAGTGCTTTTGGCGACAGAAGGAACATTTACTGAATAACCATACACAATCTATCACACTCTCTGTTCTAACCCACATCATGAGTTGCTAACATTACAAAAACAGAAATGTGTTTGTCAAGTCTGTAAAATGTTTATCCCAAGAGGCTGACTCAAAGCCTGAAGTCCTGTCCTCAGCACGGCCAGTCAGCTGCTCACAAGGGCTTTCCAGGAAGCACTCAGCGTTGTGTGTGAGTGTGTGTGACCACTGCCTGAATGACCATGAGGGATGGCTTCCTCTTATGACCTCCAGGCCTTGAACAGCCAAAACATCAGTACTTGCTTTCAGAGGGAGGGTGTTTAGTCTAAACCACATCTGGTTTTTCCTGATGTCAAAATGAGTGAGAAATACGATCTTAAAACATGTTTGTGAGTAAATAAACCTCACTCATCCACATCTTGTTGACCTAACTGAGGCTTTACTGTGGATGTCTGGGTTCATTTTAAAGGGTGGTCTGATTTGATGTCAGGGGGTGCACACACACATCAAGTTTTAAGCCCCCGCCTCACAGGAAGTGGTGTCAAGGTCACGTTTGCTGCTTCCTTTGGATGAGCCAGCGCTTCTCTTTTCCTTCCTTTTGCCCCTGATCCTCAGATCCTGCTTGAACCTCCTCCCCTCGACTCCTCCCTGGATCTGTCCCCCCCACCCCGGAGACAGAAGGGTGCGGTGGTCTCTCACGTGTAGGCCTATAAATGTGATTCATCAGCTGGAGTCAGCACCATCATCAGTAGCTGCTCTGTTCCGCAGTGTATCTCACATTCCTATCCTGTGTGTGTGCAATACACTCACTCATTAAAAGAGCATTGGCGTTGTTATTTCTCAGCACGTTTCTCAGTACATTTCTGCGACCTTCAAGATGTAATTGGTAGCTATTATATAAGTCGGCTGTAAAATATAGGCCCTAAATGGAATGTTGTGTCTCATAAGTGTCATGTGAAAAGGTTTGGATGTTTTTCTTCTCGTTTATTCTCCTGTTGCGAATTATCACTTTGTCTTCCGAGGGCCCATTCTCAATCTTACACACAAAGGTCAATGGACTCCTCCTTGAGGGTAATACTCAGCCTGTGAAACATTTGTATTTTGTAGTTCTAAAAAGGGCTTTGTTCTGAGAAAAATACTCTGATTATGTCCTCAGGGTTACCTTGAGTTAAGACCTGGTCACACTCACACCATGTAAAACTGGTCAATTTCGTGGTACATTTCGCAGGGGTGAAGTCAACTGGTGAAATGGAGGACGGTAGCTGAATAGCAGTGTGTCATCCACCTTTATTTAACATAATCTATTGGAGTATAAACTGATCGAAACAGAGATCTGCAGATGGTTTTAAAGACCGTCTGCAACAGTCGAAAGAACATGTCTTTTGAATTAGTGAACTTGTGTGAACCTACCGTAGAGCTGGAGTAAATGGCCCAGGAGAGACAAAACAGGAAGAAGCTCGGAGCTGATTGGAATGAATAGCTGGAGCATGTATTGGCTGGCTAGCGTGCTAGTAGTTAGCTTGCCAACTTGTTCATCACCTAACCACAAAGTTTAGAGTCATGAAGGATGTTTTAAATGCTAATGTAATACAAAAAAACATCAGTACATTCAACATGAGTGTATTTCTCTGAATACACAGTAACCCTCTCAGACACTTTAACTTGGAGTATATCATACCCAGTACTACAATTCCCTTTATACTTAGCCCCACAAGTTCCTCTGATTGACACAAGTTTTCTGCATTAAGGCTTATCAGGGGATGTTTGTTTTACCTTTACTGCTGCGACATTCACTTCTGATCCAAAGCTATAAAAAACGTTTTTTGCAGTGAGTGTGCAGATGCTTTGAGGACGTTAGACAGCCTATAGCTCCCACAATGTAGCTAAGATACCGAGTGAGCTGTGTTCTTTATTTAGTACTGTATTTGTTTCACGTAAGTATAAATATTAAAAAAGTGATTTTTGTCTCAGTGTTATTTTATTTGTATAGGTAATCAGCAGCACAGTTTCAGTAATATTGCTATAAGCGTGATAATGGTGATAGATGGTGATAGATGATCAACCTGATGGAACATAGCAGGCAGCTGGAGGAGATACAGCTCAGCAGGTAACCTGTCTCTTGTTATTCCACACCAACTGAGGGGGCAACATCAAAGACAACACAGCGACAGACACACACTTGACGGACAACATTGAGCAACCCGCCCAACCCCAATTTACTGGCATGGCCTTCAAGAAAGGGAAGTAAACTTTCAATAGACAGATTGCAGGCTGTGATCTGTGTCAGTTTATTACTATATATGGTCATCCGTCAGCTTCATTGTGTGTTTAGTCTGAAACTAATGCTTGAATCAGGGGAAATTAAGATGTTATTAATAACTGCATTCTATATTTGTCCATCTTCACACTTAAACAGGAACAAGAGTTGCATAGAAAATGAGTGATGTAATATGTGACAGTCACAGTGTATATTAACACTGCCTATCATTTTGTCTGGTTCATTTTAATACTTCAAATTTGTAGTCTGCTCCTCTCTACTCGTGTTCAAACAGAGGATTTGGAGAAAGTTTAAATTATGTATTGAGCACTTGGAGGTCAGTCGGCAGTGTGAAGGCACAGCAGGTCAAAGACAACTGAACACATCACTTTCAACACAAAAAGCGACTGTCTGTATTAAACAATCATAATTATCATGAACCTTTTACCGGAGAAACGTATTAGATAATACACAAGGACATAATATGCAATATCTGCAAAAATAATTATTTTACAGAGAAAGTGATGTTGCACTGCCCTTGCTAAATCTTAATCTTAAAAATAAGCCAAATTAGATAAATCTCTTGAAGCATCATTTCACCATACAACTTGGAAAACAAGACCGTTTTAAGACAAAGCACATCTGTCTCACAGTCACAAGTGTGATACATTTGAGTAATAACCTCAGAGTAGTATATATGTATATGAACCACGATTAAAGTTTTTAACAAAGTAAGAGTTTATTGGAGGTGATGTTAAAGAGTCACAGAGCTACTATTACACATTCTCTGTGTACATGTGTGTGTATCATTGAGTACTGCCTTTAGCTTTGTACTTCTCCAGATGCCGCATCAGGTCTTCAATACGCATGTCCTTCAAGTGCACCAGATGCTCTAACCTGTTCACTTTCATCTGCATGATCTACACACACACACACACACACACACACACACACACACACACACACACACACACACACACACACACACACACACACACACACACACACACACACACACACACACACACACACACACACACACACACACACACACACACACACACACACACACACACACACACACACACACACACACACACACACACACACACACACAGTTGCAAAAAGGATGTGGTTAAAACTACGTAAGCTTTATTTCTGAAGCTGTGAATTATCTCAATAATGAAAACTTCCTAAAGTTGTAAGGAAATGTAACACCTTTGTGTCATTTTTCTTTCTCAACATGCTGATGTGGCCACAGGCAGAAATGAAAAAAAAGTTATATCCGCTCAGCAGAAGCTGACTCAGTGACACATATGTTTAACACACACACACAAACACACACACACACACCTGCAACAATAATTAATGTGTGACACAGCTATACCCTAGGGTGCATCAAAACGGAAGACAATTTTGTTCACAGATGTTCTGACAGTCAGTCACATGTGTGTGTGTGTGTGTGTGTGTGTGTGTGTGTGTGTGTGTGTGTGTGTGTGTGTGTGTGTGTGTGTGTGTGTGTGTGTGTGTGTGTGTGTGTGTGTGTGTGTGTGTGTGTGTGTGTACCTCCACAGTCTCCTGCAAAGCCATGACATCTTTCTCTTTTTCCTGCAGGATTAGCCGTACAGAAGGGTCCATGTCTGGGTAAAACTGTGCTGTGTTCTGTGGCTTACTGTAAAATACAAACCAAAACAGTTATTATTATAAACCCTGCTTTTGATTAATTTAATACACATTATAAAGTAACTTTTAGTCATACCCGCCATTTTTTATTCTGCTCTTTTCATCTTTTTTCATGGTATCTCGTGCCGGCTCAGCCACACGTTCTGCTTCAGTCTGAGGACCTTCTGATGACAACAAAGTAAGTATATAACATCTCACTATAATGTGAACACAAAATGATGACTAACAACTGAGACCTGCAGTTTCATGGATGAATGCTAAAAGCATTCATCCATGTATAGACACAAGCAGGGTAAAGGGAGGAGGAAAGGAATGGTAAGATAAGAAGATGGAGAAAGAGAAAAATGAGGAGGCCTTTAAGTCCTCCAGTGCTGAGCTCAGGCCAGCGATAAAAGCCATCTGGTGATGTTGGGAGCTGATATGAGGTCCTGAGCTGTGTGACTGATAGCGGATGGGGTGTAGATGGAAGAGGAAAGAGCAGGGAGGAGGTGCTGGTCTGAGGTCAGCTGTACAGGGTTGTTTCAGGGACGGATGAGGTGTGGGAAACGGAGGAAAGACACGTCACCGATTCACTCCCTAAAGGTCGTGCCATTCTCTAATCAGTCCTGTGTGATGCTGTTAAATGTAGGCCTGTTTGTGTCTGTGTGCGGCCGCTGTTATCTGGGGGGGAGATTAGAATGAACTGAGTAGTTAGCAGGACACAATCGCTGATAATATCAGGGCAGACGGGCAAAGAGAGGGCAGGAAGTAAAGAAAATATTGGAAATAACGTGATTTCAGATCAGATTTGGCCTTCACAGCAGCTACTAAACAATCCTCTTAAGACAAAATAAAACATCAGTGTGTCTCAAGTATTACGTTTTTGTATTTGTCAGCATACAGCACCTTTAAAATGTGTCTAAAGTTATACCAACTTCCCATCTAGGGCTAAAAAAGGCACATTTTATACTGTGGAGCTTCAGTCATGCTTGCAGACTGTGCACTGTGTCAGCTAATACAGCCCACAAGAGACACTAACAGAGGGAAATATCATCAATCTTAGGTCAAAACTCAGTCATCACATTTATGTTAAATCAGCAGTCTTTGTTTCTGTAATCCAGTTGATTTCCCTATTTCACTGACTTATAGGAACACTTCTCCCCCACAATGACCCAATGATCGCTTCTTCTTCTGTGTTACCTCGGAATGTTGAAGAAATGTCTCCGCAGTGAACAAAAGATAAAAAAACAACAACTTGTACAGTATAATCTGCTCCTATTGACTTACACTCATTATTTATTCCATTTCTTCAAGTCTTTGTTCACCATGCATGCAGAAAAACAGAGTTTCCTTGACGCATTCAAGGTAACAGTAACTTTACATAATCATTTTGGGGGTGTTGTATTTTTCTACAATTACAGTAACTTATTGTTGTAACTTCTGCAGATATATTGATGCAAGGTCAAATATAAAAAAGGCATGTGATTCAAAAGAAAAGTTTGATAAATGAGTGGAAGAAAGTTTGCGTAAAGGAATAAAAGCTGTCAGGATTTGTTTAAATGGTAAAACAAATGTACTACTCCACCTGTATTAAGTTTCTCCTGGTTTCTGGTGTCATAGTATTCCACATTCTGGTTTAAAAGAAAGACATGTTCAAAATGTGGTTATTTTCCAGCTACAATGGAAAAGAGAGGACCACAGTAATCCTTTATTCTGTAATAAGCATTCAAACAGGACGACTTATAGTATGTATGTCTCTTAGCACACATGCATAAACACACAGTACACACCAGTATATTCTCTGTAGTCTGCTCCAGTTTCTTGTCTATCTTCTGCCTGAGGGCGCTCAGTACTGGCTCTATTACTCCTGAAGTGCTCAGTACAATCTTCCTCACTGTCTCCTCAGGCACGTGGAAGTTCAGCTTGGAAAATACCTTCCTGTCCACAGAAACAAATACAACAACACATGTTTCTAATACAAATAATAAAGTAACTAATCACAATCTGCAAAACCAGTCACATCAAGAACAGCAGTTTGAAAGTGATGATGCATTATTAAAACACTATGGGGGACAATTAGTTTACAGTGAAGACTCATAAATCTGTATCTGGCGCTGTGCCATATCGGCAGCCTGGGAGAGGATGAGTGGGAGTGGGTTGGATTGGTTCTCACGACCAGATGCAGCGAGACCCTTGGTAGTGCTTAGCAAAAGTTATGTCTCAGTGTTAAGCTTGAATAATTGAAAAGCAAAAGTCACTTACTGTGTTAAGAGAGATCGATATCAACTTTTTTAGTGTAGTAATATTGACATACATAAATGAAGTTCCTATGCTTTTAGAAGTATGTCTGAAAACACATATTGTCATAAAATAGACACTGAATAATTCATGTCTGCCTCTGTATCAACATTTTTGATGACTTTCTTTTGTTTATGAAATATGTAATTCATTAAAAGATGCTTGAGACAGTCAACCCATAGGACAACTTTGGGATTTGGCTCAATCTTAATAAAACAACTCCATGTAACACAATCCTTAACCACTTACTGCATTTAGGAGATAAACTGAAGTTAAAAGTGATTTGAGAAGTTAAAATACCATGTCACGTCAACAACCAACAAACACTTTGAATAAACAAACACACAGATAAATAAAGGTGTCTGGTGTCTTGCCTGTTGAGAAGGTTCCAGTTACCGAGCTTCTGCTGAGTGGAGTTTGCAGAGATGTAGTTGTGCGGGTCAATTAGCTTTGGGAAGAAATATTTGACAACCTCTGCAGCCATCACTACAGAGGGTTCACCAGAGAGTCAGTACATAAATAATAATATATATGAGCTGATAAGCTGCGTTAATGTAAACAAGTAGCTGGAGACTTTGAAACACAATTTATACTCGGTCGTATTTCTCCTGCCTGCTTATGAGATAGCCAGGCCGGAGCTCAGTGAATAACTACCTCCGTCACTGAAGTCTCTTGTGATGTGTCTCTTGGGCCGGGACAGAGATATTTTGTCTATCCATGCGTACAAATCTTGCAGTTCCTCTTCGTTCAGTTTTCGTTCCATTTTTCCTAAAACGACATCTGTTTCTGGACACTTTGTATACTGAGCTAGCTTGCTAGCTTGTCCCGACAACTGGTTGTTTAAAACGTTGCTAGGCTACCGATAGTTAAATCAATGGCAACACAGATTATGGCGACTGTCTGGATGACAAGAACGGAGAAAAATGACTTAAAACATTGATTCTTTCGATTCACTTTATTGTAAGCTTCATCAAACTGACAAAAAAAAGATTTTAATAAATAAGAACGGTTTAAAAGAACGTTCAAAAGGAAATCCCACAATCATTTGGCATCAATCAAGGACTAGACTGCTAGTTACAATCAACTTGTATCAAGTCAACATATAAAACAAAACAGCGGCATGTCATAATTCAGTATCACAAAGTCAAGCGTACCCTGGTTAGTACAAAACAATTTCAAGGAAAAGTTATAACTTTTGTGGTTCATCCTTAATTAAACAATCCGTAAAGTGCCCATGTTGGTGCCATATTTGTATCTATTTAATTTAAATCCCTTTACAACAATATTTCTTAGAAAAGCAGTACCAAAACCAATGTGAGGGAATTGGTATAGGGCCTACAGTTACAGCATCAAAAGTGCAATTGCCTCATACATTGTTCACATATCCAAGGATCAAGAGAGACATTTCCCTTAATAAAAAATACAAAAAATCATCATCATGGCAGCTTAGCCATTTGTCATTTATAAAGCACAGAAGTAGAGTCTGTCAATCACGGCTTCAGGTCATCATTAACATACTGAAGGCTTACATAAGCAACACACAGACAGTGGTAATCCTCAGGCAGACCATACTTGACAGAAAAGCTCTGTCACTTTGTGTTTTGTGGATCTGGTTTCCACTTTAAAAACAGACATGTGTCTCCTTCAAGGATTTCTAGGTCCTTCTTAGGTGGGACAACAAAAGTGTCCTCTGTCAGAGGATCTCATTGTTTACAGGCTGAATAATTCCTCTGTCATCTGGGCCTGCTGGAGGGCATCAGGGCGGCTCTGCCTGCAAGCTAGAAAAACAAATGGTGTTAACAAACATACTGCTGATGAGCTTCTCTCAGTACAAGTCAAGATGTCTTTCTCTCTTTGTTTCACGCCTCTTAGTTATTCAGCGGTGGCCCAGAGAAGTGAATATGCTCACTGACTCACTAACCCCGAGTCACTGCTTGTTCATTACACTGCTATGTTGGTAAAATGCCCCAAACCACAGACGTCTTTATAAACGTGAATGCCTTGAATGACTTTAGTAATGTCTGAATACCAACTGCCAGGATTTGGAAGATTTAGGAAAGTGTGGCTGACTCAAATACATACCAGCTGAGTGTGTGGCAGCGGAAAGCGGACTGCAGAGGGCTTTGGCTTCACTGGAGGCATCGGAGGCTTTGGCTTAGAGATCTTAGAGAGCAGATGTACATTTAAAAAAAGTGCTGATGGCATGAAGAGTTAAAGGTGTGAATGCAAACATGACGATTTTCAGTAAAATGTCATGTCACTTACCGGTTTAGATGCCAGTGGTGGCAGAGGTCTGGATGGAGGAAGTGGCTTATTCTGAGAAACAAAAAGACAATTCACGTAAACAAACATGAATAAACTATTTTAAAAATCCATTAGTGTCCTTAAAAAGGAATTACACATTTTCAAAATGCAACTTACCTCAGTGTAGATTGGCTTGCTTGAAACAGGCTGCATAAAGGCCCTCATAACCTTAAGAAACACATTGATGTACTGGTTAAAATACAATACAAAAAGACTGCAACATTTAATAAAGACAAAACAGATCTGAATACCTGTTGAACCTGTGATGGCTGTGGTACAGCTGACACTTTGGTAGGTGGCTGTAAGGACAAAATGAGAGATGAGTGGAGGCGAAAGCTTGATTTGTCTTTTTCAACCATAATCCTTAATGTTTTTTGTAGCTTCAGTACACCTGTTTATAATTTACATTAGCATCCATGGATCTTATTGGTTGTCAGTGTGTGGCTCAGGCACGATTCAGCAAGCACATGTTTGCAATGACATGGTATAAGGTGCACACCATAGATGCCACCAATGTAAATATCATGTCTAAATTAGAAGCTAACACAAACAGTGTTGGTGCTAGTGTTGTTGCTCACCACTGGAGCTGCTCTGCTGGGTTTCAGCGCTCCAGTATGTGGTCTGGCAGCAGCAGAGGACAGAGGTTTGCAGGCTTGAGTGGCTGAAGACTCCACAAATGTAGGCTGGCTGATGTGTGTGGACCCGAGGCGAGGGCTGCCTCGTGAACCGCTTGTCTTAAACAACGGGTTAGTTTGTCCAGAGGTAGATTGGAGGCGTCTATAAAGAAATACAAGCTTAAATCAAAGATGAACAACATACACAGTGTTGTACAAAGTAATCTAAAATAGACTAAATGAAAAAAATAACCAAATGTTTTCTGTACCTCTTCGCAGGTCGCCTTCTTTTGATGTAGCACATCAAACTCGCAATAACCAGGGCCGACAGCAGGAGCAAGCCAACCACCAACACGATGAACACCACCAGACCTGCCTCTGCACACACAAACACACATTGATTGTGACAATATTGCTTTATGCTAAAGGATGAGCATGTAACAGAGTACGTCATTACCCAGGAAGCAAATGCACTGTAACATCATTACCTCATTTGCACAGACTGGCTGGGGAATTCCATTAAGTACAGTGTTCATCAGAACAGAGCGCAATTGTTTGAGAGTGAATTTTACGTAATAAATCTCAGTTAAAACAGAGCAGAGGAATACCAGACACAAACAGCCCTGTGTGTGAAGCATGGCCATTAAAAGGTCAAGTACATGAAGACTTGTTCAATACCTTGAGGGAGTTCTGACTGCTCCACATCACAGAAAGGCGGGGCCCATCCAGGGTCACAGTGGCACTTCCTCTCATGATTACAAACCTGCCGGAGATCAGAGTCACTGTCAGAGTTGCCATTATTGCTATACACAAGGTTGGGTAGTCAAGGATTCAATAAGATTACACAATCAGATAACAATACATTAGTACCTATAATTGTCCCAGACTAAATTCAAGAAAATTCTAGTTACATTGTCAAAGATTACTTGATAATGTAACTTTTTTTTCCTTCAATATACGGCCCTTTCGAAATAATGAAACTTTGTGCATTCATACAAAGCACTTCTGACATTCAGGGTGGCCTTTTATTTAAAAACACAACTTTGTGAAAGTACTGTTTTGTATGGGTAAACACATTTCACCATCTGTAGATACATAATATGCTAATTGCATATTATTTGCATTTGCAAGGTTAGAATTTTTTTTAAGAAACCTTTTGTGGGTGTTGAGTTAATCCAAAAGTATCCCATTTGTATGCAATTTATCTATCTGCATGTCATTTGAATTTAACTAACTACATTGAATTAGTAATCTGATTTAACCCTGGCTTAACAGCGCTGCAAAGTGTTGTGAGGTCAGCAGATCTCTCACCCCATGGTTGTTGCATTTGGCGGAGCAGTCGTTTGTCCCGTACACTTTTATGCTTGGAATGTCTTGACACCGTTGATTGTAGCACACCTGAAAGACGATGACACCGTTAAAACATCTGGTGTCCACCGAGGTTTGGTGGATGCTCACAGCACACAGTTTTCCTACCATGTTAGTGCCACACTTGGTACCAGCAGGCACCATGCCCAGGTCTGCAGGGTAGTTATCTTCAGGGTTCAAAGTTGCCTCGTTGCATATTTCTCCATTTCCCACTTTGTGGAAGGACTTCCTGGATGTGACTGGAAACTCCCAGCCCCCGGTGCAGAAAAGTGTCCCGCAGGATTGATCTCTGTAACCAAGAACCACAAAGCATTGATACCAAAGACCAACAATACCGCACTGTTAATAAACACTCTGATAGTGCTGATTGGATTTTGATTACATACCGGCTTGAACATCTCTGGCTGAACAGCGTCTTTCTGCAGTTTCCGTATTGGTTGAAACAAGCATCTGGAGCCACTTTAGCATCTAAACAGAATCATGACAAACAAGTTAGCTGCAGACCTAGGAGTCTTAATTTTCTATATATCCAGTTGTAGAAAGCAACTAAGTACATTGACTGAAGATACTGGAACAACACTTTTTCCCCGACTTCTTCCTGCTTTAAACTTTTACTGCACTTTTAACTCCCTTACAGCTATGTGGCCACATTAGTTGCAATTCAATAAAACAATAAATCATGTATTCTGAAATTGGATAATACTTGCACTTTAACTTGTTACAGAGTATTTCTACAGACTAGAACAAACTATTTTTCACTGGTGTTTTTTACCTGGCCCCCAAAGTCTCCTGCAGTGTTCCTGCTGTGAAGGGCACTGTCCATTGTAGCAGTATCCTCTTCCACGGCTGCAGGACCCACCGTTCTGGGTGAATGCGTCAGTGGGACAGGTGGCAGAGAAGCCAGTGCAGTACTCTGCCAGGTCACAGTCTCCTGTCTTCGCGCGGCAGACGCTGCCTGTCGGCTTCAGCTGCAGAGCGGAGAGAAACACAGATGGGGATGTACCGACTACTGAAATAAGAACACTCACACATAAGCAGCCAGACGGCAGGCTCACACAGTGTCTAGCTACATGGTAACACAATAAGTATCAGTGGGACTTCACTCATCGACAATATAGAGGGCATAGTAAGTTTTACTTACTTGGCAGTTGTGGCAGCACTCTCCATGAGCACACTGGGCTCCTGCATTAAATCTGCAGGTGGTGGCATTGCAACAGGGATTCTTGCACTCCTTCAGTGTGAGACAAACAGAATATCACGATACATTCTACTTTGTGTGCTTTGATTATGTTATTGTGTGTATCCTAGAAATGGGACCAAGTCATTGTTTTGCAAGTCTCAAATCTTTGTATTCAAGTCCCAATGCAATTTTTAATAACATTTTCGACAGCACATTTTGCATACTGTAATTCATTTTGAGTATGTACTTAAACAAATTATCTTTGGCATTCTTTTTCAAACTGGCAGTAATGTAACTTTTGTGAAAGTTTGTCATGATTGTCTCCTTCAACTAGATTAGATGCTGTCAAATTAGTTGAAGAGAATTAAGTATTGACTTC